ATGCCAAATTTTGACCCAAAAAAAAAAGAATGGAAGTTGAAAATGGGGTTGATGCTAGCATAGAACTTTGGCTGACTTGAAATCAGGACTAGAGCCAAATAAATTTTATAATCTTATGTATTAACAATTAAGAACTTTGTGATTTCATTTAATGTTGTATTTGGGCATTTTAAGTTTTTTTTTTTTTTATTATTTAGGGTTGTTTGAACCTTTGGTCATGTATGAGAGTTACAATTTCTAATTAAAATGTTAAGTTTTTAACTTAATAAGTTATTTTATTTATTTAATTTCTCTTGATATTTCAAAATTTTGAGACATTACATCAACATAGCGTTTAATTATACCTTAAGCATTATGTCAGAATATTCTTACATGATCTATTGATTATGACTTATATATAATTTGAGACGGGGAGAGAAAAGATCCATAATAAAAAATTGGCATTTAAATTGGCTCTTTGTGCTTAGGCATGACAATCATTACTTCATTGGTATACATTGGGATTGAAAAAGGTTCGCACAATGTATGTCACACTACAGGACAAGTTTTGAGGGAGTTTTTCAAGATGAAAAAAAAAAACTTCTTATTTGATCATTAATAACCTCCCAGGGAAAGCCTACTAACTGTCATGCAAGACATTATTCAATATGGGGTTTCTATTATGTTTTGCTATTTTAATTATCAATGGACAAAATATAATGAAAACAGCATTATTAATAAATTTTGTTTTTCACAACAGTAGGCTCCGTTCACTTATCACACTTGTCAAGAGTTTTGATGGGAAAGTATTTTCACAAAAAAGATATACATCACAGTAACAGATAAGAAAACTTAATTTCTTATATGTATTTGTTCATTGATAGATGAATTTTGCCAAAAAGATATAGTAAAATTTGGTTGTCCAGTTTTTCAGTGGATGTGTGTGAAAACATATATTTTGTGGTTGAAAGTAACGTATGTTGAGATTCCCGTGACAAAATCCTCAATTTTTTGTGAGATATATACATTTTGAATAAAAACTTATTTCATTAAGAAAATTAAAATTTTGAGTTTGATAAGTTTCTTACTAATGCAACAGTCATAAGTTTTTTTTATTTCTTTTATTTTCTTATACTTTTCCAAACAACCGAACAGGGTCATAGTCACCCAAAGGAGCCATGTTGTTGGAAGGCCTATTTTGCTTCAACTATTGCTCCCAACTACAGGCATAGTTAGTAGAGGGAATTTTGCAAATTTGCAAATAAAACTATCTACTAGATGGAATTGGAATCTGTTTGATGATTAATCATCTCAAAAACTGTAAAACCAACATTTCATTGCACGTTGTTTAGAAGTTTGCAAGGCACAACCTCCATGTCAAGACGTTGCTGTCATTCCAACATTGAACAAACATGAAGCAGGAGAGGCAATTGTGAGGCAATAGATAAGGATCACTAAAACATATTTACCTGCACGGGGTCAAATGGGTGATCAATGAGGCCCATGGCCTAGGGTAGTGACCTCCATTGCACTTAGGAGGGGCACTCGCCTAAGGTCTGTCCAAGTGGCAAAGCCTACGTCATCATTTGTGGCAGTGGGGGCCTGCGTTCACGCGGCCCCTATCCAAACTTAGTTCTATATTTACGAGTTGTGCTCAAATGGATTTGCATAAATGTTGAATATTCTTACATGTCAATCTCCCGAAGAGGGGAAAAAAGGGCAACAAATCTAACAAAGTTGAAAACTCTTCAGTAGAACTGTGTGAGCATGAGTTATTTCTCACACTGACCTGAAATTATTTATTGTTTCTCACTTTGTTCTAATTATCACAATTTAAAATTTTCAAAATTTTCAATTCCATCCCTAACAAGTTATGTTCTCATTTGGGAGCATCTATTTACACACACCAAATACCCTCTTTGCACATATTTCTCACTACACACACCAAAAAAATTAATTCCTAATTAATCTACTCACTACACACACGGTTTATTCCACATCTGCCCTCACACACACACACAACCCTCGACCCCAAACCCAGCTCTCTCCCAACGGTGCAAATACACACACCCATTGAAGCTTAAGCTACATCTTCAACCTTGAGGATACATACACCCATTGAAGCTTAAGCTACATCTTCAACCTTGAGGATACACACACCCATTGAAGCTTACCATGTGCAAATACACATACACAGCTTTCATCCCCAAATACACACACATAGCTTTCATCTTCAACCTCTGTCAGTAACAATAAATCACAAACCTACTGTTGAAATAAATCACAAATGAATTAATCAAAACGTAGAGTTTTGTTTTTATCATTTTGAAAACGGATGAAGGCCCACGGAGTGTAAACAAACCGTTCGGAACTGGTTTGCCGAAATTAATTCATTTGTTCGGAAGTAGGATTCCGAAATTGGTGATTTATTTCAACAGTAGGTTTCCGTAACTTTTTGATTATTTCGGCAGTCAACTTCCGAATATATTAAATTCAAACAACAATCAAGTTCCGAAATTAATTTTTTGTTTCGGATTTCAACTTTCGAACATTATATATACTTTCGGTTTTAAACTTCCGAACAGTGTTTTTCTTTTTTTTCTTTTTTTTTTCGCTCCCTTCTTATGTATATTCTTTTTACATTTGTGGTAATCTCTTATTGAGTGATAAATAATTTGAGAAAATGTATTAAAATTTTAATTATTGTAACATAATTTATACCTATATGAATCAATCACTCTGTATTGTATTTGAGATCACCTTTTGAAAACTTGTTTGAGCTTCAATGGATACTAACATGGAATTGAAAAATGGTATAGCTTTGTTTGGGGATAGAATTAGAGAATTCGAAACTGTAAATTTGGTATACAGTTTGCAAAAAAATTTTTTTACTTCATTCGGAAGTAGTTGTCCGAATTTATTTTCAACTTTTGGAAGTTGAATGTTGTAAAAGTTAACTTTGTTCGGACAACAACTTCCGAAATTAAATAATTTTTTCGGACTACAACCTCCGAAATTTATTAGTTTGTTCGAACAACAACTTCGAAAATAAATAATTATTTCGGTAGTAGATTTCCGAACCAAATAACACAATTCGGCTCTAGTTATTCGAACGACGCTGGAAAAAAAAAGAAAGAAAAGAAACTCGCATTTCCTTCGCTATGTTTCTCATAAATACTTATTTGTTGATTTTCAGAAGACAAATCCTCCATATCAATAATGAATGAGAAAGAAGCTACGAATAAGGAAGGTTGAAGCTTCAGCTTCAACGTGATGAAGTCTGGATGTGTGCATTGAGATGAACGTGAAGTCTGGATGTGTGCATTAAGATGAATTTGGTTGATGTCTAAAATAGTAATTTCACTTAGGGATAAAATTGTAATAAAATTAAATATCATTAAGTGTGTGTATAGAGGGGATTAGGTGTGTGTATATAGAAGCTCCCGTTCTCATTTTTGTCATTAAACACATTAAGTTTTCCCATTTTGGTCATTAAACATACTAAGTTTTCCCATTTTGGTCCATAAAACCAAACCCAACATAATCTCAAAACCATCCCCACCCCTATATCCAACTAATCTCGAAAATCAACTTCATATAGGTGCACGAAAATGAAAACAGGTATGCATCATTCAAGTAAAGAGGCTGCAAGTTGAAGCGTTGAGGCTAGTGGAAGAGATCAGGTAGTAGGTTAGGAGGGGCGAGGTGGTCAGTTGTGGATTGGGGTGATAAGGTGTATAGAGGAGGGAAGAGAATAGGAGAGTAAAGGAAAGTTCAAGTTCTTATGGCACCATTTTAAGAATTTGGACTAAAAATGGAGAGAATTTGACAATTTAGAGATCAAAGTAAAAGAATCTTTTTTCAAGGACCAAAGTGAGAAAAGAATCATACTCTATGGGGGAGAAAGTGTAATTTATCCTATGTATATTTCCATTTTTCTTTCCCTTAATAATAAATTCACGATCCAATCCAAACATAAACAAACTCCAATGAATGAAAGAATGTGGTTAGTTTATATGCAAATGCATGTCTTATCTGATGGGTTTATTGTTATTATTTTGAGGGCGTTACAGCTAAATTCAGAAAATGAAGGGAATGCCTCTCTATCTTTGACTGCACTACCAGTTGTCAAGCTAAATTTCCTTTTATCAAAATAGCATTGACCATTTCAATATACTTTATGCCCAAGAAAATAATAATATACTAGCAATTCAACTATCATTTCTTACTAACTAAATATATTAGGGAAAAAAGGTTATTCTGAGCATATTCTAAGCATCAAACTTTTGTTTTACTTCAAATTATAGAGGTGAGACCAAAATCTAGCCAACATGCCCTCTTGCAGACACAAACATCAGCTAAACTAGTAATATTCACAAGATTTATTTAAAAAGCATGAAGAACCAAAGCAAAAGCGCCCAGATCAAAACTGCATTGCAACCTTACAAACTTGACATATTATCACCTTTCTGAAGCTAGGAAAAATCTCAGGGCTCAAAAGTCATATTCTCTGACTCACGCTTCAAGGAGTCAAACAGCACAGATGACAGATAACGCTCTCCAAAGCTGGGGAACACCACTGGTCAAAAACAAACAATAGAATATTTGTAGGTGGTTAAAATTCTGAGATTTGTCCAATGTTGTGTTCAGCCAAATTACTATGCAATATCTTCTAGTACATTAAAATTTGCCCAATTGAGAACAAAATATACACAAATGATGGAACAAAATAGCAAAGCTGAACTTGAATGCAGAAAATCAAACTTACAACAAAGAGTTTTCCAGCATTTTCTGGCCTCTTAGCTATCTTAATTGCAGCAGCCGCAGCCGCAGCAGCATCAGATGATATTCCTACCTACAATACATGTTACCATAAGCACCATCAAACTTGTGAACTAAAAATATTATAAAAAAAAACCTAAGACATGAACTTAAGCGTTCAGTAATTTTTACAGAGGAAAGCGATATAAAAATGCCTGTAAGACCCACAGTTGAATAATATGAAAAATTATGTTCTTACCAGCAAACCTTCCTTCAATGCAAGAAGCTAGGCAGTTTCAATAGCTTCCTCACTTGATATCTGCAAAGTTCAAACATAAATAACTCAGCCATAATTATCAGAGATTGGCCTTTGAATATGAAAAGCAGCAATAAATGATGGAAGAGTAATAACAATTACATAAGCTTTCTTATACAAGTAAACATGCTCCATTAAAACATGTGTTATTATCACTATTGCACTGGAAAAATAACTACTTTAGCAAATCATAGCACATGTCAAAAGGTAGAATTTTTTTTTTTTAATCTGTTCTAATGTACAATGTAAACTGTTTTATTTGATAACAGGTCTTGGACTTCTCACTCACCCTTGTCAACGGTCACAAGAAATCCTGACATACACGGGATAAGTTATGAATTCACCTTTGTTCCATGCACTTTGACTGAACAAACCAGGAGTATTTCGCTTAGCCAATTTCAAGAATCTTTTTTTTTTTTTATGAATAAACCTATTTCAAGAATCCTACTACTTGTTTTAGGCTATTTATTCCCTATGCCAGCTGAACTTTAACAGGGTTTGTAAGTTTTTTGAATGAAACTATATATTAGACTGAATCAATAAAACAAAGAATACATCACTTATATAGAACTCTAATTCAAAAGTCTGAAAGTATACATCACTTATATAGAACTCATATAGAACTCTAATTCCTAAGCCTAAAAGGAAAAAGGAGAAACCGAATATAGGGAATATACTTACACCCTCACTCAAACTCAAGGTGTGTTAGCAGAAAACACTGAGAGTTTGTCAAGAAGAAACAGAAACCGAGCAGTGATGTGAGTCTTGGTGAAAGTCAGCAAGTTGCAAAGTCGAAGAGACAAAATGAAGTGAGATAAAGCCAGACTGCAGATGCTAACGGACGAAGTGACAATTAATCTCAATGTGCTTTGTCCGTTCATGGAAGAGAGTCTTATGAGCAATTTGAATAGCATTGCGGTTGTCACAATAGAGAGAGGTCGGAGAAGACTGAGGGACGACCAAATCAGATAAAAGACTACGAAGCTAGACAATTTCAACAGTAGAATGAGCCATAGCACGATACTCAGCTTCAGGAGTAAAACGGGCAACAACAGTTTGTTTCTTACTTTTCCAAGAAATCAGGGAATCGCCAAGAAACATACAGAAACCAGAAGTGGATTTGCGATCATTAACATCACCAACCCAATCAACATCAGCATAGGCCACCAAGTCTAAAGAAGAAGTAGATGATAATAGCAAACCCTGAAAGATAGTACTGTGAAGATAGCGAAGAATCCGAATCAAAGCAACCCAATGTGTAGAACGAGGAGCAGAAACAAATTGACTAATCACATGGACAACATAAGCAAGATCAGGGCGAGTAACTATCAGATAAACTAAACAACCCACAAACTCACGATATAACGTAGGATCGTCCAGAGGAACACCATCAGTAGTGTTGAGCTTCGCATTAAGCTCAATGGGGGTTTCAGAAAGCTTAGTGTCAGTAAGACCGGCACGATGAATAACTGCGTTGGCATACTTGGCCTAGGACAGAAAGTAGCCCTTGGGAGAAGAAGCCATCTCAATACCAAGAAAATATCACAATAGTCCCAGATCCTTCATTTCGAAAGTGCGGAAGAGATGCTGCTTGCTGCTTGACCTCAGAGATAGCAGAAGAGTCTGAGCCAGTGGTGATCATATGATCCACATATAATAATAAGGCAACAAAACCAGCAGAGGTGTGGAAGAAAAACAATGCAACGTCATGGGCACAAAGATGAAACCCAAGCTTAGTAACAACAGTCTGAAAGCGATCATACCAAGCACGAGGAGATTGCTTCAAACCATATAGAGCACGCAAAAGACAACAAACCTGACCTGAGGAATGGTGAAGGCCAGGGGGAGGACGCATGTAAACCTCCTCAGTGAGATGGCCATTAAGAAAAACATTCTTAACATTCATCTGATAAAAAGGCCAATGACGAACAGCATGGAAGAAAAACAATGCAACATCATGGGCACAAGGATGAAACCCAAGCTTAGTAACAGCAGTCTGAAAGCGATCATACCAAGCACGAGGAGATTGCTTCAAACCGTACAGAGCACGCAAAAGACAACAAACCTGACCTGAGGAATGGTGAAGGCCAGAGGGAGGACGCATGTAAACCTCTTCAGTGAGATGGCCATTAAGAAAAACATTCTTAACATTCATCTGATAAAAAGGCCAATGACGAACAGCAGCAACAGAGATCAAAGCACGGACAATAGTCATCTTGGCAACAGGAGCAAAAGTCTCCTCATAATTAATACCATATTCTTGTGAGAAACTTTTGGCAACTAGGCGAGCTTTATAGCGCTCAAGAGAACCATCATAATGAGTCTCGACTTTATAGACCCATTTACAACCAATCAGATTCTTGCCAACAAGCAGAGGAACAATTCCCAAGTACTAGTCTTTTATAATACAGGAAACTCATCCTTCATAGCTTGAATCCAATTAAGATCCTAATAGGCCTCCTTGTAAGACTGAGGTTCTGAAAAAGAGTGAATAGCAGGAAAAAAAAAACGTACAATATGAAGGAGAAAAATAGGTTTTAGCAAAACCAAGTTTGACTACCTGTTTACAAACACGAAGGGGATACTTATGATTAGCCAAATTAGGGTCGTCAGAAGCAGGAGAATCAGCAGCAAAGGCAGAGACAACTGGTGGAAAGAGAGCCTTGCAACAAGAATAGACTAACAACAGAAGAGGAGAATTGAGTAAGCGAGAGAGGAGGTGAAGAGGATGGAACAGACTCATGGGGTACAGTGGAGAGGGACTCAGCAGAAGGTGTAGTAGGAAGAGAAGAAGGAACAAGTTCATGAGGAACAATAAAGATGTACTCATCAAGGGGGACCTCAGAAGGAAATGGATCAATGTGAACCAAATCTTCTTTAGAAACCGGAACAATGAGAGGAGGAAGCTGAAAGTAAGCTAGACACTCTAGGAAGGCAACATAGGGAGAGACATAAAGGTGGCGGGAAACAGGATCGTAACAACGATAGCCTTTCTGAGTAAGACTGTATCCCAAAAAGACACACCGGGCACTAAGTTTTGTCTTATCTTTCTGGAAGAAGGACAAAACATACGAACCCAAAAACACGAAGGAGAGTAATTGGGGAGTTGGGAAAATAGAGCCTCATAAGGAGAACGATCGAAGAGTAAGGTGTAGGCATACGATTGAGAAGAAAAGCAGCTGTAAGAACGGCCTCCCCCCAAAAGGGAGCCGGAACAGAGGTGGACAGGAGAGATCTAACTGTCTCAAGGAGATGACGGTATTTACACTCAACACGACTATTTTGGGCAGGTGTGTCAGTACAGGAAGTTTGGTGAATAGTACCTAAATTAGCCAGATACTCACAGAACTCGGTTTTAAAATACTCTCCACCTAAGTCAGACCGTAACAATTTAATGGTAGACCCAAATTATGTAGTGATCATAGACTGAAAGTTACAATATATTTGGTAGAAATCAAATTTATGAGTCATAAGATAAACCTAAATATAGTGGGTGCAATCATCAACAAAAGACACATAGTATGCAGAACCCCCTTTAGTAAGAACTAGAGAAGGTCCCCAGACATCAGTATGCACAAGAGAAAATGGAGAAACAGAAATAGACGTACTTTTATTAAATGGTAAAGCTGACGTTTTGGCAAGTGTACACCCCCGATATTCATCAATTTGACTAGGAGAAACTTTACCCAATAACCCTGACTGAGCTAAAGACCGTAAGCGATCAACAAATAAATAACCGAGGCGAAAATGCCATAAGTGAAACTGGCTCAACTGATAATCTAACTAAAACGAACAAAGTGCAGCTGGAAAGGCGGATGAAGGGAGATGCAAGCTCCACCACATAGAGATCTCCAACTCTACGGCCAGTCCCAATCTGCTTCTTGGACACCCGATCCTGCACACAACAGACAGAAGAGGAAAAGATAACATCAAAACCAGAAGCATCAAATTGACTGATAGATAATAAACTAACAGATAGTTGAGGGACATAAAGAATAAAAGGAATAGTAACAGCAGACATGGCAGAGGGTAAGACAGACCCAATAGACAGAATAGACATACCAAACCCATTAGCAGTATTAATTGTAATAGGAATGGATGGGGGAATACAGTTTTGAAGTAAGGAAATGTGAGGAGTCATATGATGAGAGGTACCAGAATCAAAAAGCCAGACAAAAGAAGGGATACCTGAAGAGGATCCAAGCAAACCTAAATGAAGAGAGGTAAGAGCGGAGGCAAATGGGTATGGCTAAGAGGTGGACAGGATATACTGAAGTTGTGCAATCTGAGCACTCAAGGAAGCCAAGTCAAGATCGGAAGCCGGAGCAGATGTAGTATAAGCGGTAGAAGGTCGGAAAGGACCAGGAGTAGGACCGCAGAACTGTTTCTGAGAAGACGGAGCAGGTTGACGTCCCTTCTTATGATAGTTGTTCTTCCAATGACCCCTCTGATGGCAGAAAGCACACTCATCTGGACCTAATGATCCTGTCTTGGGTTTCGCAGTGGCCTGAAGCGAATGGGGTGGTGGAGTCAATAATAAAGGAGGCTTAGTAGGAGCCAAGAAGACAGAGGGAAGCAGAGTCTGATTTGTCGTCTTAAGACGGGTTTCTTCGGAGAGGAACCCACGAACAATAGCATCCATAGAGGGAAGAAGAGACCGGTGAAGGATGTCACCTCGAATAGCCTCATACTGAGGGAAGAGAGCCGTTAAGAACTGCACTAAATGACCCTGCTCCCGAAACTCAATATATGCATCTAGTATCTTGAGACTAAGTGGTTCTATTAGAGCTAACTGACCCCAAAGACCTGTCATCTTAATATAGAAGTCCTAAATAGTCTGATCTCGCTAACGAGCACTCTGCATAGCTGTTTCCAACTCATACCGCTTGGCAAAGTTGGATTGCTGATAAACACCTAGTAAATTATCCCACCCTCCTCGGCAGTACTGTACTTAGAAAACATCATTCCAATACGGTCATCCACAGAATTATGAAACCAAGTCAGAACTTGGGCGCAAGTATCACAGAAAGTCAGATATCCTTTTGCTTCGGGTCCGATAGACGAGGAACAGAACTAGAAACATAGCCCTATTTTTTCTGACTGAGAAGAAAATTCTTCATAATACTGACCCGATAGGCATAATTGCCACCAGTGAGTTTGCATTTGATGGCTTGGATTTTAGTGTCTGACATTGTAATAAAACAAAGTTTATAAAATGTTATGGGTCAAAGTATAAATAAAACAAATTAGGGCTTCAAGTGTAAATACCCAAAACCAGTAGCAAAGAGAGAAGTCAAGAAGAAGAAGCCAGAGTCAGACAAAGGTCGCGAGAGAAAGAGAGAGAGACCTTCGCGACAGAGAGAACCACCTTGCGAAGCCAAATCATGAGAGACTGAACCTGATGGAGTCAATCGATCGAGAGGAACAAGAGCAAACCGTGATCGCAAGTCTGGTAAGAGGGGAGATCAACCACGATCGACTTGAACAGAGACTAGACGAACCAAATGGGTCGACTCGAACCAAGACCAGATGAACCGAACCCAATCTCAAATAACATGAGTCGCACGTATTCACAAGGTTGAACCAGAGAGTTCAACGAAATAGAAAAGCTTCAACAATGGCTACTAGGGTTTCGAACCAGGCTCTGATACCATGTAAGTTTTCTGAATGAAATTATATATTAGACTGAATCAATAAAACAAAGAATACATCACTTATATAGAACTCTAATTCCTAAGCCTAAAAGAATACATCACTTATATAGAACTCTAATTCCTAAGCCTAAAAGGAAAAAGGAGAAACCGAATATAGGCAATATTCTCACAGGATTACCCTGACAACCTGATTTGTGATGGTTTATACACTTTCAGGACTATATAAATGCCAAGCTGCAGATAAAATGAAGCACATAACCACCAATCAATTCTCTTCATCTTTATCATTTCTTTCTTTATTTTTTAGCTTTACTTTTCTTCATGATACACAAAGCGTGATGCATGATTAGATTCATCCACATGTTTACTGAATGAATGAGACTGCCTTGTTAGAAAGATTTTGAGGCTTACTTGAACAACTTCATCAACTAAAGCGACATCCATTACCCCAGGGATGAAACCAGCACCAATTCCTTGAATTTTATGAGGGCCTAAAACATTACAACATGTAATATGTCAAGTTCAAATAAAAAAAGATATTGCTCTTCTTGAAAGCTAAAAGATTAACAAAAATTTGCAATTATAGAAATTCCAAGTATTAGGTAATGCCATGATGGCCACCAGAAAAGTAGATAAATGGCTACTGCACATGCAATAAGTTGGTTAGATTTTCTCATACATGGTTTCAAATGTTGATGTCAACAAAAAATAAAAAATAAAATAAAATTGCAGCTCAAATTATTAAAGTGAATATGGATATATCAACAGTGAATTTGATGTCATCAACGAAGTATGGATTTTCTTTTTCATGCTGTAAAATTTTACTCAACAATATTTCCAAACTCATAACCAAGCACAAGAATACGAGACAGTAATATCCACATTGAATTTTCAACAATGCATATCAAATTGCATGCAAGAAAACCCATGTTTAAGGTTTTCTTAGTCCTTGTTAACAACCACAAACAGTATATTGGCAAAATGACATCACATATTGTACATTAAATCCATCCAAATATAAACCATAATAAGGAAGCAAATTCTCTAAAATCTCTGACTGTGCTGCTTTTGGCATAAATATTCTCATAGCTGAAACTCTTTTAGGCATTGTTTGTTTCATTGTTGCAAGCACAATTCTTAAGAACTTGTGTTTAAAAACATGCAGGTGTAGCATGTAGAGAGCAATATAAAGGAAAGGGAAAACTTCACTTTACCCCGTGGTTTGGGCCATGTGCAGTTTACCCCCCAACATTTGGAAATAATTACATAACCCACACGTGGTTTGTGAACTAAAGTGTACTGTTAAACATTCCATCCAACTTGGCAGACATAAAGGGATTATATGTTCATTTTCAAATTTCAAGGGCATAAATCACACATAGAACAAAGCATAGGGGTTAAAGTACACTTTGGCTTCTAAACAAATGACGAAAATATAGGAGTATTTTAGTCTTTTTCATTAAATCATCAACGGGCCTAATGGTGCACTTCAGTCCATAAACCACAAGGGGGTTATGTGGTCATTTTCAAATGTTAAGGGAGTAAACTGCATATGAAATAGAGCATAGGGGGTTAAAGTGCACTTTGCCTTCCAAACAAATGACGAAAATATAGAGATATTTTAGTATTTTTCAATAAATCGTTAACTGGCCTAATGGTGCAATTCAATCTACAAACGACAAGGTAGTTATGTCGTCATTTCCAAATGTTAGGGGGAAACAGTACATAGCCCAAACCACAGGGAGGATAAAGTGAAGTTTGCCCAAGGAAAGATGTGTTGCTTGATTAATCCAAGGTGTACGGAGGGGTGGACTAGGAATAGATCTAGCCCCAGCCTTTTGATAAAGCACTACACTACATACAAGAAAATCAACATTAGAAGACTAGAATGATTAGCAGCCAATCTTTGCTTTTATCCAACAAATGAGAAAATTCAATCTTTTACAGAACATGTTAAAGAAAAATATTCATACCAGGTCATTCGTGACACTCGGCACACAATTTTTTGTATAAAAAATTGTCATAGGATATTCACATGACATCGACCAATGGCTAGTTACAAAGCATGTTGATTGATGGTTTTGATACAAGTCTAACATACAAAACATTCCCAACAATATTAAAAATAGAAAATTAGTCCCTTTTCTACATTCAAAGATGAGCACTAAAGCCTCCCCTTCACGGCAGGAGTATCTGTGTGTGTGTGTGTGTGTGTGTGTGTGTGTGTGTGTGTGTGTGTGTGTGAGAGAGAGAGAGAGAGAGAGAGAGAGAGAGAGAAATTTTGGCATGAAAATTTATTAGAGTTTGCTAATGAAAAAAGCCAATAAAGCTTGATAGCATCAAAAGTGCTTTTAAACATTTAGAAAAAGAAAATTGTGAAAATCTTATCGTGCTAGAAAATAACAGACAAACATTTTATAGTTTACATATCATTGACATCACTGGTCATTAGATACATTTTAGACATGTTGAGATGCAATAGACAATCTGAAACTAGGTCAAGCCTAAGGAACGTGTCATAAGTTTAGTATTTAACAAGAGAGCCTAAAGATTTTGTCACAAGGTTACTATCAGTACTGAACAAGCTACACCAAGCATGCTTTGTCATCTGCCACACAAAGCGAATCATTAGGCAACTTGAACTTTAAAAAAGGATAACTTTATTTTTGAAGCAGTAATGATCCTCAACACAAGTATTGAAAGTCTTCGTTATATATAGAAGCACGAACAAAATTCATACACAAAATAACCACTGCTTATCACTCTCTCAAGTAATGAAAAATGGCATTTGTTTGTAAGACAAGCCATTTGAAGTAGTTTGATATCTATTCACTCTTTTTTTTCAATTAATTGGTCAATTTATTATGATCATCACAGAAGAATCATGAAAGTTTGGTCAATCAATAATTGGTAAGCCCTTGATCTATGGGAGCCGACCTACACTAGCCAATGAAAAAACCTCAAAACATATAAACAACGATAAATCATTTTAAGCAAAAAGAAAAAAAATATATATATATTACATTGTAAGTTGCACTTCCAAGTTCGTTCCCTTGATAATTGTACATCTGATTATAAATGTACTTCCAAGTTCGTTCCTTTGATATTACATTGTAAGTTGTACATCTGATTATTCTAATTCTTCAAATTTGAGTTGGTCAAATGTCGAAGTTTAAGGTTCACACCTAATTAGGTGAATGCTTTTAATTTAAAATGTATATTATGATGAAGCTTTAAACATTATTCAACATTACTAATGTTTGTGTTGACATATTCCATAGCATATCATAGGACTACTTCTAAAAACAGTTTAATCACCCAAAACCCCCGCAATAGAAGCGGGGGAAAAGCCCCCAACAGGCAAGTACGCTCTGCTGAAACAATTAGACTGCTTAGGTGAACTAGTCCACCTATCTAGCAGAGCAGCAGAGTACACCAGGTCTTCGTTGCCTCATCAATTTGTCAATCCTGTTACATAGTAATAACTTTGTTTTCCATCATTCTTCTGTGTACAGAAACAAAGTCACAAACAAATAAGTTCATCATAGTAAATCCACAACCAAATACACAGTTGTGTCTACGTGCCCAGATGTTAGAAATTATCATGTCCAAAATCGTAGCCTGTTTCCCAAAATCACATGTAATAACCATGCCTAATGATGATTGCCAAACACAAGTTCATTCCAAATCATATATTCCAACTTGTCAAAGCCAACAAAATATCTAAAAGAAGAAAGAATGAACCAGAAATACAAGAATATTGTTGACACCAAACCAGGATAGAAAATGGGGAGACATGTTGGAAAGCACAACTCACCAGGTTTTCCTCCTTTTAAAACTGCGTTTTCAACTGGTTCTACACTATATAGCTGTATATGAATAAATAAGGGCACCGGCAGCAATACAAGAAAAAGAACACAGATTGACGAGAGAGAGAGAGGTGTTCATTAAACTTTACTTTTCCAATAAACTTTACTTTTCCAATAAAATAAGAGAATGAAAAAGATTAACCTTAATCTCAGGGTTTTGCTCTTTAAGGTACCTCCCAACACTTGTAATTGTACCACTTGTGCCTATCCCAGAAACAAAGGCATCAACTTTCCCACCCGAGCCTTTCCAAATCTCTGGTCCAGTGGTCTCTGAAGATTTTAGAGAAGAGAAAGAGTTAGGGAATGAGTGAGACCTCATCCCCTTTTATATTGATAATAATGCATAATTACAAGAGTGCTATTACGCATAAATTATGGGCCAGCTCATTACATCAATCAAGGGAAAATAAAATCAAATAAGAATAAAATATATGCAATATTATTTCCTATTCTAACACTCCCTCTCAAGCTAGTGCGAAGATATTTCTCATGCCCAGCTTGATGAGAATGTCATGAAATGGTTTATTCCCTATTCCTTTGGTAAGAACATCTGCCAGTTGATCACCAATCTTCACAAATGGAGTGCATATGATGCCACTAGTGAGTTTTTCCTTGATGAAGTGCCTATCAATCTCCACATGCTTGGTTCTGTCATGCTGAACCAGATTATGAGCTATGTTGATAGCCGCCTTGCTATCATAGTACAGCCTCATGGAATCAGTTTGATGAATCCCCAAGTCTCTCAACAATAATCTAATCCACAACAACTCGCATACACCCTGAGCCATAGCCCTGAATTCTGCCTCGGCACTAGATCTAGTAACCACATTTTGTTTCTTACTATGCCAAGTGACCAGGTTACCTCCAACAAATGTGCGATACCCAAAAGTTGATCGTCTATCGGTGACTGATCCAACCCAATCTGCATCAATAAAAGCCTCCACACTAAGCTGACCATGTTTTGAGAAATAGAGACCCTTTCCAGGAGAAGATTTCAGGTATCTCAAAATCCTCATAACTGCCTCTAAGTAAGTAGTTTTAGGAGCATGCATAAACTGGCTAATTATACGTACTGTAATAGCAATGTCTGGGCGCAAGTGGGATAAGTATATAAGCTTCCCTACTAATCTCTGGTATCTCCCCCTGTCCATTAGCTCTCCCCCTTGGCTTGTTAAACAAGCTTGGAAAGGGGCTCATCCCTCCATACATACACGTGTATGGAGGCTAGCTTAAGTGATCAACCACTGGCACAACTGGCACACAAAATATCTAAAAAAGCAGAGAAATGGCCACCGGCCACCATTAGTGGCCGACCGGCCATTAATGAGGCCGACTGGCCATCAGTGTAGCCGACTGGCCACCATTGATGGCCGATGGACATGAGCCCTGGCCGATGGGTTGTAGGGTTGGCCGGCAGGCCACCCACTTCCCCAGAAATAAGGCTATAGGCCCTTGGCCACAACCAAGCATAAAACAGACAAGTTGAGAGGTCCAAAGGCAAGACACTTCGCCAAGAACTTCAGGCACTGAAAACAAACACGAACATAGATAATCATCGGGTGTTCAAACGATGACGTTCAAGTCTTGAGGACAGTAAAAAATGGGGTGTCTACAGTTGCCCCTCTTTGATAGAACTCGGAAGTCATGAAATGACAGGAGTGAATGTCAAAGCCCAAAGACGACCCATTTTTGACAAGGCCGAAGACTTAGACAAACAAGTAAGATAACAAAACACAGATGTGCCCACAGGTCGGGGCAAAATATAAGATGCATGCAAGATGCAAGAGCATAACTTATGATCATGCAAAAATGGCTGTAATGAAGCATTTAAATGCAAGAATTATGCAAAGAAAATATGACATTTTAAACAAACCAACAAATACAACAATCTCACTCATGAGAAGAAGTACGTAAATAAACACGCCACGCGCGAGAAACATAAGTCGAATCGCATTTCATACAGAAAGGATATAAGAAAATTATGCAATCTTCATTGCGCCTCACGCAGGAAAGACTAAAAGCAACTATCAAGAATATCCGAAGTCTCAAACGAAACACCTCTCAACGTATCACACGTGAGAGAGGGAAAGAAAACACCTCTCAACGTATCACACGCAAGAGAGGGAAAGGGATCATCTCTCAGCGTATCACACGCGAGAGAGGGAAAGGAAACACCTCTCAGTGTATCACACGC